AGCAGCAGCAGCAGCAGCAGCGCTGCATCTATTGCACAGGTCCATGATCTCCAACAGGCCCTCGTTCAGGGCTTTGACGAACACGGCAGAGCTGGTCTCTGATTTTGCCCAGAAACTGGACACACAGAACATGATGTGATCTGACTGTGGGTTGTAGCAGGCGCCGTAGCCGTTGGGCACGACGGGGCCGTAGCAGCAGAACATTTCCACAGTGGTTGGTACCTGGTGAGGGGACAACAGTCCGGGTTACACCCGTGGCCTTAAACGGAAGACTCTTTAAATGTCACAGAGTGAAATAGAAGCTGAAAAAACAACACACCGTCGTTGTCTTTCATTAGCCTAAAAGCAGGAGTTCTGTTTAGTTTGGCCAACAAATTCCACTTTTGTGCCAAGTGTCTCCTTCAGTGTCTGCTGATGTCCTTGAGGATAACAGCTTTGTTTGTTTTAGCTTTGGCTCTTTACTGCTTACAGCCTTGTGTACTATGTTAAAAAGAACCTTGAGTCTATTTTGATTTTTTGTTAATGACTAATCATTTTTGATGGTAGACGAACACTGAACCCATTTTTACGTGCACTCTTTGTTAGCCTCTGCCTTTCATTTTGTTAAGAGAAAATAAAAAGAATAATCCTACACCTGACTTGTAGAGAGGATGAAGAGGTTGCTGATCAGATATGTCGGGTCGCAGAAGATCTCCGGCTTTTCCATGTTGAGCTCCTTTGACATCCTCAGAAGTCCGAGGAGATGATTGTCTATGGCCATTCCTGTAATAGCCTGGAAGACATGTTGGTTTCTGCTCAGTGCTAATGAAGTCTTTTAGATCCTCAGCAGCAGCCTGACGGGCTCCACTGTCTGACCTTCTTTAAAACAGAACTTTTTTTTATGAACAGCAATTTTCACTTTCTTGCTGAAACGTTGGATGAAATTATTTATTAAATATGAAACAGCAGTTGGCAGAGGAAAACCGCTGGCCTGGTTTTTTCCTTAGAAACTGCCTCCAAACAGTTTTGTTTGAGCCGTGTACGACAGTAGATGTGTTTATGTGCTGTTAATTCACTTTTACTGTGCCTTTTAAACTCTGTGGTGTCAGTGTACACAGCCACAGTCCCAGAGATTCTGTAGTTTGTTATATTAATGAATTAGGAGTCATTTAAAAACTCAATACATTTTCCAATTATACTTCAAAACAAACTACAATTTAGTTATTAACTGTTAAAACTAAGTAAAATCCCATGGTTAAATTCTGGATTCGAATAAAATCTGCTGTTGCTCTCTGTGGCCACTAGTGAGTGTTACAAGCTGGTTTGCCATGCTCAGTGGTCACTGACATAAAGACAACATTCTGGAATGTTCTATAAAATCAACCTGTCATTTAGGGATGCATAACTTACAAAGAAGGTAAAATAATGATTCTACATCAATGGATGGAACTCTATGTTAAAAGCTAACAAAACAAATTATTAGTATTTTTACCAGCATATGATTATAATAATAGTTCAACCTATGGTTTTAAAGTACTTACAGCGATTGTGTAATCTGTCTGGGCATTGAGAGCGTCCCGCAGTCGTTTCATCTTCTCTGAATCCTGGTGGAGAAGTACAGAGTTATTTAGGAGAGAAGAAATGATCACAGCATGAAGGGGAACCTGTAAATACACTCTAATTGATCCAGTGAAGCCCACAGTGAGTGGGACAGTCGGTGGGTCGGTGCCAGCTGCACCTGCTTCTCCACAGAGGTGTGATGGAGGGTAATGTGGGAGTTGCTCAGTAATTGCGGTCAGAGTGAGAAAAATGACTCACGGCGAACACGACTCTCTCATCAGTCATGGACTTTACAAACGCCAGGGCTTCACGGGTGGCAGAGCGAATGTTGTCTACTCGACCTTGTTGGAAACGCCGTATGGACGCACTCTCGTAAGTGGAGACAAGTCTCCCCCTGCATCTGAGGACAGAGGAGTAGTGGACACATTCTTGGCGCTGCTCAAGGCATAATAATAGCTAAAGGGACATGACGGATTTTTTTTAGCACAGATTTTCTTACTTGTAAAATGCAAGCTGTAAGGCAACCTGGATGAATGCATCTGGACTCATCCTTTGCTTTTTGATGAATTCTTTTCCGTAGGCTTCAAACTTATAAACATCCATGTCAAGGTTGTTGACCAGTCTGAAAAAAAAAACATTAAAAAAATGTAACAAAAATGTACATTATTCAAACATTGATCTGATTTCTTGTTTCAGTCTCACCTCTGGAGTCGCTCTCCTGACGCTGCTAAGAACCCCTGGATCTGTGGGTTACATTTCCACGGCAGTCTTCTGGGAGCGGGGAGTTCTCTGACGCTAGAGGCCGTCGCCATCTTGGAGGGGCTCTCCGTTCTGTTTGGACAACCGATGATTACAGTATATGTCCGTTCAATAGAACTGAAGTAACTCGTCACACGTGCATCGACTCGACTTACATGTACTTCATCAGGTATTCAGAACACTGCACCAGTACTATTCCTTCAAATGGTGAATGCTCACACACTACGCCACAGACCCCGTCCATCCCTACCACAAACTGAGATATAAGATATGATTTGTAAACGCTGAATACCTCGTACAGTATTTATAGAGAAGTGGAACGTTTTGAACACCGACCTGCATTGACTTGTCGTACCATCTATTTGCCCCGTTTTTGTCACGGCCGCCACCGTGCAGCATCAGCAGAGCTCGGTTGGTGTCACTGGGAACCAGGCCGCTGGGTTCGTCTAGGCACACCACACACAGGCAGCTCTCTATCAGGGCCAGTGAGTCTCTGTTGCTTGGTTCTGAGTGGAAAATAAAAAAAAACAACAATAGTAACTACAAATACTGTTTCCAGCACAGAGCGTTTGTCCCAGCTCAGACCTTTTGTGAGTACGTCTCTGGCCTGGGCCCATTCTGTTCTGCCGTCTGAGGTCAGGATTCCAAAGGGAGGAAGTCTCTCCTCAGCTTTTCCTGACATTTTCACAATCTTCTCCAGCTGGCATAAGATCTCTGCTTCATTCAGCTGTTTGCCATTGACGACCACGTCCAACACGAAAAACTATTAACAGAGGGAGATTTTAGGAATCATCAGATACAAAATGAAACTAGAAACCAGGCCTCTGCCACCTGGTCATTTAGTGATTCTTCTTAAGGAAGATCCCAGAGACCTGTTAGATTGAATTAGCAGTAATTAGGTTTACTGCCTGTGTCTCCAGAGGGATGAACCCTCATGTGCCATTGATTGATGGTTCCCAGGTTGACAGTATTAGGTAAAGCACGGTGACTGCCACTTCTACTGTGGGAAGTCATTTATGTATCGATGCAACGCCAGTTGTTTTACAGTCAAGTGTCACCAAGAAGCTACTTGACCTCTGGTGACAGTGGTCAGAGCTGCTGAATCATCACTGCTTCAGACAGGTGACCATGTGTTAGGTCATCTATTAGTTCAGACTGTCCATTAACATTCTGTGTTCAAAGTAATATGTCTTTGTGTAGAAAAATATTCTTAATGGTATTCTGGCATCGTTGAAGGGCAGCTCATCGAGACAGTCTATAAAATACTTATTAAACGTATTACTTATTAAATAGTAATAAATATACAAAATACAGTCATAAAAGCTCTCATGAGGGATATTTTAATTTGACTGAAGATTCCACTCTTTATGAGGTTTTACCCATAGAGGTTGATTATTGTGTAGAACAGTGTTTCCCAACCTTTTCTGAGCCACGGCACATACATATCATCAGGAAAAAAAACCAAGTTTAAATGACCTCAAAATAGCCCAAGTGAAATTAGATAATTTTCCACGGCACACTAGTGTGCCACGGCACAGTGGTTGGGAATCACTTGTGTAGAAAATATATGGTATTATGAGTAATGTGGATGTATATTTAGGATCAGGGTAAATGTATCTGTCAGTGCTTTTCTTTATTTTCTAGACTCTTGTTAAAAAGTGACAGAGTGTGAATCATATCTGCACAGGCCAGGAGTCTGACCTGATTCTTGCAGGCCACCATGATGTGCTCTGGTGCTGAAGATGCAGCCTTGGTCTGGACCTTCAGCGTGTCTGTCTTCAGACCAGGGTAGCGGTAGGAGTTGAAGAGGCGGTAGTACTGTTCCATGCACAGAGGAGTTCCAGCCAACTGGCCACGGGCGACGTCCACAGGTAGAGCTCTTCTGACAAACACAGTTTACACAGTAACGTGATTCAAACCACATAACTCTTCATCTGTCATCGTCTCGCTGCTCTGACACCACTTACTGCTCAATGACTCTCTTATAGTCCAACAGTCCCCTGATGAGACGGGCGGCAAATCTAAACATAAAGACAGTGCATCAAAGATTCACAGTAGATTAGCCAGGTTGTACTAACTATAATCAGATTCCCAGAGGAATCACAGTAATCACATCATAGAAAATGACCGGCTAACAGTGAGCAAGCTGCGTGTAGACCAAAAAGCCATTTTCTGTGAGTGAGTGGGCGCTGTGGGAAAATAGGGAAGCGGAGCACCCTGTCAGACCTCATATTGTACATCATTTATCTTGTTGGTATTACGTCCAAAGCCAGATCAATACGGCGGAGGCGGCTGCAGAGCACCACACCCCAGAACGGGGCCTGAGCGGCGGTCTCTGTGGAGAGCTTGGCCCTGTCACTCCTGGTCTAATAAGTGACCGTGTCAGTAGATTACCAGCTGCTTGGACTGCTCTGGAAATATTCACTTAGTGCAACACAAGCTGACAGAAGCTAATGTTGAGTTATAGGGCAGCATGTGCCGGTGTAATGTCTGCTCGGCCCGCTCGTTTTTATAACAGGCACAGATCGGACCGGCAGATGCAGCCGGTGATTTTGTCCAAGTCTGTTTTTCACATCTTAATCTGAAACCAGATCTGTAGAGGAGAACAGATCCAGTTCTAACACTAACACTAAGATTGAACCACTTATCTGTCACCAAGTGTGTATTTTATTTACTTTATATAATGTGAAAGTTGAGTGCATACCTCAGGGCATCTTTATGATCTCGGAACATCTGTTTTGGGAAAACCATAGCTGGACTGGAGTTGACTGGTAGAGCCAACCGGTTGTTTAAATACATGTCCTCCAGCCAATATTCATAGACCTGAACAAGACAAGAAGTAAAACAATGGTACTGCATCAAACTGCTGTGCAATAGAGAATTTAGATTTAATAGACCTGAACTTTACCCAGTTCTCCATCTTGTCTCTTCTCTCTAAAAGCTTCTTCTGGAGAACCTCTCCGAGTCCTCCAGGAGCTCCAAACTTCTCCACAATGGCCTTTGTTTTCTTAAACTGCTCCTCCATCACCAGGTGCTGGACACATCCCAGGTACGTATCCAGGGTTTGTTTCAGAGGTGGCACGGGAACCTTTGGCAACACCTGATGTCAAAGACGGACCAAGAGCGGATAAATACATGATCACTTAAGGACCGGAGCTTCATGACATTATTTTAATTAAGAACGCAACTCCCTAATGGCGTTTCATCATGTTTTCTTTAATTATATACAGTAAATTATTTATTTTGTATGCCTCAGGGCTAGTTTGAGATTATTTTCCACCGCCCACTGGGAGTTGAAAATGCATTTTTGCAAGCATGAAACACGCAAACTGATTATATTCTGTTTGATGTTCCCCCACATGCTTATTGAATACTTCTGCTACCCGGGGATGTTAATATTGACCAGCAGATAGGAAATAAAAAGAATCTATAGATGTCTGCTGAAGAGAATGAGAGTTAAAAAAAAGTAATGTTTTTTTTAAAATCAAATAGTAGAAGAACTATATGAAATAAGATTATTTTTCATCGTCATATAATCACCAATCAGATCTGACTATAACAAAGGTCAAATGTTCAGAAGGTCAAACGTTCGAACATGTAATTAAGTTAAGTGACAGAGATCCAGGCTGTGCATTTTTCGCCCCTAGCGGCCAATAAATAAGGACCAGTCTGGAGCTGTCCGTGGTGCTGAAACGATGCGCCAATGCTTTCAGAGCGTCAGCGTGGAGAAAAAGAAAGAAAGAAAGAAAGAAAGAAAGAAAGAAAGAAAGAAAGAAAAGAGAGAGAGAGAAAGAAAGAAAAAAGGAAGAAAGAAAGATAAGGAAGGAAGGAAGAAAAGGATGTTCACATACTTGACTTTCTCTGTCTCTGGTCGTCTCTTTCTCCAGGATCGGCATCTTTGCGGTCGAGTCCACTCAGCAGAAAGTAACGTGGAAAGTGTGAGAGCTGCTGTCACTCCAGCCTTCCCTGTACGGCGCACATTAACGCATTTGAAGAGAAAAAGAGAGGAAATGACGAGAACCAAAGTAAGACCTGCTTCTTGACCTTGGATCTAGTTGCTCCCCCCCCCCCCCCCCCCCGCCGTTGTCAGGAATACAGTGTTAGTCTATACAGGTTGGTCAAGATAACTAAGTCTAATATGCGTCCTCACATTATTTACGTTTGTCTTCATGTAAAGTGTGAAATCTGGAACTTAACACACACGTCTGATACTGAAACCAAGCACAGGCCCTTAAATAGTCCTTCATAAAGACAGAATGAACTTTACTCTGTTTTACAATTACTTTACAATAACAAGAAGATATTTAACTTTAATTGACAAGAATTAATGTTTGCAGGATTTAAAAAGTAACGCACAAAAGGTAGTAGTCTTACCTTAAGGCTGATTAACTTTAGACCCATGAAGTGTGTGTGTTGGGGTCCACTGTGCCTCCCACGTCCTCAGCGTGAAATCCCATCCTTGAGTAAAAGCTGTTGTCCCCGCTGCACCGCTCCGCTGTCCCCACGCTTCGCCATAAGGCTGCATGTTCATGCGCAAAAAAAAAAAGGAGAAAAAAAGGTGTTTGCGTCTACCTACCCCCTGGAGCCAGGAAACTCCTCCCATCCACATCTATTTGAGGAACATGTTCATCTGAAAACTTGCCCCCCACCTCTCATTCGGTCACACCCCCACACCTTCTCCTCAACCCGTGATAAATTTAGAATAGTTCGACTAAAAGTAAATGAAGGGACGTGTCCGGTTTGGGTCTCGTCGTTGGAGTGGCTGCATGTGTGCAGACAAATCTCAACTCCCTAATCCCGTATCTCTCTCTAAATACTCACTTTTTAGTATGCAGTCGCCTCTGTGTCATATTAATACTCATTAAATATGTTGTTTTTATTCTTGACAGCTACACAAACCCATTCTCTGTTACGTCACGTATTTACAAAGTCCTCCATAATTAAAATCTTAATTCGCTGCGATATCGTTCCGATAATTTTATTTTTTTAAATGTGGTTAGATTGACGGTGATGTTGAAGATGAAGTGAGACTGAGAAAGAAAAGGCACAGGTGTCACAGGTCCAAACATATTTATTATTAAAACCACAGTTGGTAAATGAACAGCCTACATGTTTGTGCATCATAAGGAGACTGACTTTATTAGACACATCTTGACCAAAAAAAGAAAAGAAAAATCACGCACACACGCGTGAGCACAACCGCACACACTCGCTTTAACAGAGGTCCGTGTATTTTTTTCCCCTAAAACAATTTACATTGTGCCTTTATATCCACATATGTACAAAGTTAGCTTTTTTAATAACAGACAAAAATCTAAAATTAAATTAAATAAATAAAAAACGTATTTTTCTTTTGTATCGTAAGACAATAAATAAGGAGAAGAGGCCTTAGATGTGCAAGTAAAAAGAGTTTCCTCCGAGAATAAAAATATAGGCTACTTTTGTGTAACAGGGAAAATGTGCTCTTTAAAGTTGGTCCCATACAATGTCGTACGCATATTAATCTAGTTTATTTTTTATATATATTATTTTTTACAACACACAAATGCAAGGGTATCCGAGAGACCTTTCACAAAACTCCACGTCCATGACAAACGATACATAGACTCGTATGACACAATGTGATCACAGTGAAATAAAACGAACAAACAGTGACAGGCTGTTCGTATTGCACGTCGGAACTCAACGCAAAAGTTAAAAATCACTTGAACCAAACCGCGTCTCTCCGGCGCCAATGTGTCAGTGTAACCGGTCTAAGTGTACTCCGGGCCGGACGACTCCTCCGACAGAGAGCGCTGTGCTCCGAACGGCTCGAACCCGTTTTCATCTACTGTCAGGCAGTTTCCTGCAGAGTTGTAGCCCTTCTTTTTAGCTCTCCTCTCCTCCATCTTGATCGTATCGTACAGCCCCTGAGGAGCATCCTCTAACAGGTTATCTCTCTCGGAGTAGGAAGGTTTCATTTGGCACACGTTGCGCAGCAGCAGCAGTGCTGGTGCGTAAAGCACATTGACGAGACCCATGCCCAGGTTGAGCTGGACGAACCCCAGATTGTGCACTATCTGCCCGGCCACTATTGGACCCATGGCATAAGCTACAGAGTAGGAAATATCTGCTATGGCGTAAATGCTGCCGTACACAGAGGAATGGCGCATGTCGACTAAAAACGCGAGTGTGGGCAGCAGCGCAGTGTCCACGAGCGCGATGCCGAAACAAATGCCGCACAGAGGCGCGATGAGCTGCCCAAAAGTTTTACATGCGGGGACGGTGCAGGAGCTGGCCCCTATGATGACCATGCCCACTGCTCCGTAGAACCACTGTAAATGTGGATGCTTCGCTGCCAGTTTAACTGTAATGTACACACCGATGACATGAGGGAAGAAGGCCGGCAGCCAGGTCAGTCCCATCTCCCACTGAGAGGAGTGCATGGTGCTCTCCATCCAGTTGGCGATGGTGGGCTCCAGAAAGGCCAGGGGGATGTTGCACACTGTGAGCGCCCCGGCCACCACAGCGATGTAGGGGTCGATCATGAGTCTGTAAATGGGGGTGCCGACCGGCATGTTCTCTCTAGTCCTGCTGGAGAACGGCTTTAGCACGGTCAGGAACAGAAAGCCGTCCGCCAGGCAAACGCAGGCGAGCGCGATGAAGGGCACTCTCTTGCCGGCAAACTCGTACAGGATTCCCCCGAAGGGAGGCGCGACCAGACTCCCGAAAGAGATGAACGCCAGGGCGATGCCGAGCGCCCTGCTCCTCTCTGACTCCTCCGTGTACTTGTCAGCAATCATGGCCAGTCCGGACGTGTCCGCAAAAGCAGACCCCAGACCTTGTAAACTTCTGGCCACAAACAGCGTGGCGTAGTTCTCCGCGAATGCAAAGATGCAGGTGGACATGAACATGACCATGAGTCCGATGAGAAGTGGCAGGTCATAGCCGACCCTGTCTATGAAAGTTCCCGACAGCGGGTTGACTATCAGCTGCAGGATGGCTTTGGAAGCGAACAGTACTCCAATCTGGACATCCAAATTGTTCTTGTTGATTTTGCCCTGGCTTGTGCTGTTGGCTGAGATGTTGGGGTGCATCACTACGTGGACGTGCTCAGACTGCTCACTCTCCAGTTCTGCCAGATAGTCTGGAATAATTGGCACGATGACCATGTAGAGCATATTGTCCAGCAGAAGAGCCACACAGACGATCACTAAGACGATCCGTCTTTGCTGGTGAGGATCCTTGATCGCGGTTCCTAACTGCTTGGTTCTTTGGCTCATCTGAGAGAGTTTTACTGCGGCTGATTTAGCCAGCCCGGAGGATTTCCCTTCTTCATCCATATTGTGCTTTAAAAAGTTGTTTGCTTAAGAAAATAGTCTTTGTGCTTTCTTCCTGTCCGCTGCCGAGCTTTTAGCACCTCAGATGACTCACTGGTGTCTAACTCTACATTGATGTGCTGCTCTCCGTCCTCGCCTCGCCTGTGCGTAAAGGGAGAGGCGCAGAGGCACTTGGCTGCTTCATGGGTGCAGATGCATTTCCTCCGCTGCCTCAACTCTTCCTCGCCTCAGCCCCATCCGATTTTGTTGTATGATCTGCCGAGAAGTGACGTTGTAAAGTCGCAGACTTTCTGCATCGAAGTGGTTTGGGACTCTCCTCTACTACTTACATCGCACTTTTTTGTTTGCAGCGTTGCCTTAACCTAAAATACTCTCAGTTTCTTATTTCTACAGAAAATCCAATCTAATCTTCAATCACCTGTGGCGCTCGTGCGCTCTGCCCTGAGACCACGAGTGACTTTGTGGTCGTTGGCGCACATTAACCCGCAGGATCGGCGCTATTTTAGACGGGGGTTTTTTTTTCTCCCCCTTTCACCAAGAGCTGTGACGCACCGCCAGTTTGCCCCCAGGTGGATCACTTCGTCACTTGTTCTCTTTATGTTAATTATCAACAACGACTGCGATCACTTCAACCAATAAGAGCCAGCGGGAATATTACATCCATTTCTTAAAATCTTAAAGTCCTTTTTTGACCACGCCCCACAAGTTTGTAACTGACTTGTCTGCAAATGTATGTGAGTTTATTTCATCGTTTGTTTACATAGAAGTAGTGAATATAAATATATGTGTATTTTCTTTATTAGTGTTTGATACAGTACTATTAAAAATAGGACTCAGTCACTCAGTCAGGCATCACTGATAAAACATCCAACATTATCTTTTTACTAATCTTAAGTACATTGATAGGAACATAGTCTTTTCTGTTTGAGCTGAAGGTGATGTTTCAGCACCAAGAGGAGGTGGACAGCTCCCAAAATGATGTTGACAGGATTAACGAAACAAAATCCCTTCACTTGTTAACAGTCCTCAGAACCACAACACAGCCGTGTTGTGAGCGCAGTGCACTGAACCTTTAATATAAAACCCATCGGTATCCACAGAGGAAACTTCAGAACCATGTCAAAATGCATCCGCGCTTATAGCAAATGTAACAGGCGCCTTCTTGTGGTGGAAATCTAAAAGTACATAGAAGCACAGTTGTACTCGAACTGCGGCCGGCTCTTTTAACTAAAGGATAAATGATGTCCACATAGTATCAGTACACAGGGAAAATACATGAGGGCAGTTCAATTTATTAGAGGCAGTTTACAATTTTTTTTACAAAGTTCTGTTCGCCACATACTTACAGGTACGGGTTATTGTTTACTAACATGAATACTAGTCTTAAGGAAAATCGGTTGTAGTTTAGTAAAAAATCAACACTGTTGTGGTTGTTTAAGCTTGACCGGATGAAGAACAAAAAATTAAAAAAACAAACAAACAAAAAACCCCAAAGGTAATGAACCCTGAACAATCCAGTATATCCACTAGAGGGCACACGGTCACTTTCATTCTACATTCCAGCAGCTCTAACGTCACCGTGGGCGTCAACCATTGTCAAAGGTGACACCGTTAAGGTAAGAGGGCCAAGTTTATATATTAAAACGTTAAAATCCTTGCGTACTTCTAACACAAACAAATAATGACTTTTGACCTTGGATCAGCCCTCTGTGGGTGACTGTTGTGCAAAATAGTACATTTGTCGCGACAATGGAGGCAGAGGTTCTTTATGTTACACATTTCACGGAAGTTGCTAAATGTTTACTCAGGATTCACCAGACTGCGTGGAGAGTCTTTGCAGACACGTTACGTAAGCTCTGTATTTGTCGTGTGACCCACATCCTTTGACATGTCATCTAATCTCACTTTAACACCGTGTTATGCAACCCCTGGACTTATTTCAACCTTTGTTTTTGTCGTTGCAGAGACAAATGATTTCAGTGAAGTGGTTTTCCCTTGTAGTTTGCGCTTTGTTTTAAGCAGAAACACCGTTGGTGTGACGTGAAATAGGCTAAAATACACAATATCATTTTACAACCAGGACTTGTAGTTAAATCTGCTTTAATTTGTACAGTACGTTTTGGTCTGTTTTAGGTATGTTAATGCAGTTTAATAACTTATACACAATATATACACTTTAGGGTTAAGTAAATTAGAATCAGAATCTCTTTATTGTCATATGCACCAGGGAAGGTGATACGAAATTTAGTTTGTACAACCCGTTCCAAGAAAAAACATGAATAGACAATAAAAACAATACAAATAATTGACAAGGGGGGACAGGAACAGGAAGTCCAGGACGCAGCCCGTGGTCAGCGCACCCTTATATTAGATGAAATAACATATTAAGATTAATAACATATACAATAACATATACAAATTATAAGAAGAAGAGTAAGAAGTTTATCCGTTATGTTCACATAAAAAGGCAGATTTTACATTTAAATCTATCCAAAGCAATTTTTTTTTGGAACTATAAGTAGCTCTGGACCTTAAATACAAGAAAGAAAAGAGAGAAAATTAACTCAATCATTTGTTGTCATTAAATAAGGTTTATTAATGTGGGAGGATATGCATAAACATATAAATAAACTCCCTGAATGATGATGAAGTGGGGCCTTACATTTTAGATCCTTGGTTCCTAAAAGCAAAATTCTGCTTTATCTGTTTCACCTTCCGTCCTGTGAGCCTGATGGTATTAGTGCTGCTATATTTCACAGACCCAAACAGATCACAAATCCAAATTGTGCTGCTTCTAAGAAAACATTGCTAATCTGTTTGGTTTCCCAGCCTTGGCGGAGTTAATATTGTAACACAACTATTCCTGTGACTGCGTCATCGGATCCATCGCTGCCATCACTGTTGCTGACGCTGAGAGGATTTCACCTGCTGACGACTCTCTGACATGAACGTCAGTCACCTTTCAGGTTAGTGTAACACACTTGGCCTCACAAGAGTGTATTTCTGGAGTACATTAGCAGCTTAGAGATCACAGCGCAGGCGTACCATCTACTATGCCACACTGACACTGAGACCTGCCTTCATGCTGAGAAAAGGGCGTATTTTAAATTAAATGTACAAAAATAAGGTAATTTAAAAAGTGTATACCAATATTTATGCTAGGTAAATCCTGGCCTTCCAAGACAATCGTGATGGAAGGACAGGGAGTGTTTTCACCACACAGTAAAAAGTTCTCGCTTCTCAGTCTTATAACCTGCACCACAGACAGAGGACTAATCCTCCAGGCTACATCACTAGCAATATCAACAGCCAGGCAGGAGACAGACAATTGAATCAAATCAATTTAGGAAATACTGATTATAATACTATTAATACTATTTTATGTTGATTTTGGGTTTTTTTATAAGCCTTTTATAACAAATTCACACATGGTGGTAAATCTTGGAGGATACACATGTATTCTTGGATTGCTTTGTGGTCTTTCGCATTTTTCCAAGAAAGTCACATTATATATGTATACATGTATACATATATATATATATATTGCCTGTTTGCACCTTCAGAGAGGGTCAGAGAGAACTGTAAATTAATGTTATCTCTACGTATGGCATATTCCAGTAAAGTTGATTTGCCTTCAGATTTTAAGGTATAAAGTTGCAATTTGAAGGTGTTTTTTAATGTTGTTTTAATTTTTAATTTTTAATTTTTTTTTTTTTGGGCGGATCTAGAACAGATTTTACAGTATACAGTTGTTTTAATTTTTACTGTTTTGTATTTCATGTTTTATTCATGAACAACATAGTATAACATGTGTTTTTGCCCAATTTTTGAAAACTATAATGTGATTGGTTGGAAGTTAAACATATAAATGGCACTTGGATATTTTCTAACATTTTAACATTTTTGGAAAGAATGATTTATGAGAAAGTTGATTTTTTTTGTACATTTTTATTTAGTTTTATCATTTATCATACAGTTACAGTTACATAAATAATAGGCCAAAGTGAAAGCAGTAATACACAAACAGCCTTTAAACAGAGAAGAGTGTTAACTTTTCTATTTTTTATATTTTGTCTACCATTGTCTGACACGCTTTATAACTCTGTGCTTTAAAATTGAGCCAGTTCTTAGTAATGGCCTCTTTGGAAAATGCATTTTTTAAATTATTTAAATTTTGAAAACACATTTTAATACTGCACTCCTGTTACAGGGGAGCATCAGCCTCTATAAAAAAAACCTCTATAATAAAAAATATATATATATATACGGTTTTTTTCTTTTATTTCAGGTGAACATATTTGCATTGACATAACCAGAGCAAACCAACGTTTCATGACTGACTCTGTTCTTGTGTTCTGGCAGTGGGTGAGCCAATCAACACTGAAGCATGGCAGTGGTACTACAGTGAGGTCGGGGACAAGCGTTGTCCTGTGGTGGATACCTGGTGGCAAACAGGTAAATGGGAACACGCTGATGTTACTCTTCAAACAATTCTAAAGTCACGTTACATGTTTTTATCTCACACACTGTTTTGGCTATATTCTAATCTTTACATTCACTGTCACTCAGCTGACACCCGTGTCTCCTAGTCTGTAGTGACAATACTGTAGTTCCATGTAGTTAAATATCTTGGTGTCAAACGTTCACGTTGGTTTCATTAAGACTTATTATGACTAATGTTTCCACGCTGCCAAAAACCCCAGTCAATCAGGAACATCTCCCAGTGCAGTCTTCAGCTGGAAATCTCACCTGCACTCAGATCAAATAAAAACGATTATTTATTAAGGTTCTTCTTTACCCACAGAGAATGAAAAAGTTAGTGTTTTGTTTCCTAATGGTTTTAATATTTCCTCAATTTGCTGTGACACCAGATACCAGTTAAAAGGATCACAGGTATAGTTATTGATACAGTTATAGGAAATGAACGTGTCCATCTGCTGGAGAGAAGAACAAACTACAAACAGTTGAAAAAAGTAAACAATAGAAAATAACAGGGTTTGCATAAAGAAGTAGAAATGTTGTAGACAAAGCAGGAAAGATGTAGAAGGAACGCAGCAAAAAGTTACTCAGGCTGGTTCAGGTTACACTTAAGCTACAACAATAGTTTGACAGTGAAGTATACTTTGATATACAGTGTAAGTTTTTCAATATAGAAGAACTTAACTCAGTATTCAGTTTGTCAACAGCAGAAGACAATCAATCCACCATTTGATTTACTTTTCTCATAAAATTTGTAAATTCTGTCATCTATGAATAAAATAT